CAACGTCATAATACTATGTTAACTTAGTACCGTGCGTATTTATTCTCTGTTTTCAGTTTGCGTACAATTGCCAATCCGAATTTTATTCAGCCCCTAATGACTTAGTGGCTGCGATGTCCAAATTGCTGATCTTAAGACGGCTGGGACCCTAATAACAACCAGAAGAAAAAAACAACAAGTTTCACTGTTTTCGTACATACAGATGGCTATAAACACTCTCATATCACTCCGTGTGTCCTAATAACCTCTTTCACCGACTCACATTTGAGATCGCGTATCGTTTTGTGTTTCACACCGTCTCTGTTATAATATTCACGTCGATCCCAGAAATCGTTCTTAACTTTGGGCATTTCAATGATTAATATCAAGTAAGCCTTATAATTTCAAGCGCACTCAAGTTGCACTTCGAAACGAGGGGGGGGGGGGGGGGGGGGGGGGGGGGAGGTCCAGGTGGCCTATGAACATCTCTAGAATACGCAAGGTGATGTCAACACCGTTTATAGAAGCTCTGAAATGATAAGTTCGCTGAATGGTAAAATATTTGCCATCTGCAACTAAACCAAGAGTTGCAGCTGTGAGTACTAAATCTTCTAAATTGTGGTCTTCGGTTAAGCCACAGTTATACCGCGGAAGTATATACCAGAAAAGCAATTAAGGTACCGTGCGTTTCATAAGTGTGATAGGCGGTAACTTACATACTGATTAATTTTTATGTAAAATTTTTGACGTTTCATAAGAACGCGCAAGCGTCTATGAGAATAAATATATTTTGATTTGATTTGATACGATAGCGTCGCTAAAATGCCCCTGTATATGGCTGTAGTGGCACAATCTCTGGCCAAGGTCAAGATCACGAGGTTTTTCTCTCTTTTAAATTTCTAATGCCAGCTCGAAACGTCCACGACCGTAACACATCGCAATATCTCGCATAGAAAACTCCACATAATTATGTACAGCAATATATGCTATTACACTTTCGATAATTGTCCCTCATCATAGATTGTGAAAAAATCTAAGATGATAGACACTTTTAGAAAGTTTCTCGGAAGTTACACAAAGCTTTAGCGGGCACAATTAATCAAGAAATTTCGAAGTTCCGGTGAGTTTCGGTTGGATGAAAAGGGTTATTTGCCGTCTCTTCTTGTTTTGGCTACCTCAGGAAGTGTGTCAAGCGACCGACTCGTCAACTGTTATCGGAAATGGTTGATACGTTCTTATTACTAGCAGTACGAGTTAAGGGTCATTATTCAGAGATATTATTTAATTTCGTCGCAACTATAAAGCTTATTCGTGTACCCTCTTCTTCGTGTGTCTAATCTTATCGTCGTCAAACAGAAGACAATCGGTCGATGTCGCGGTCTAACCTGCGTGGAAATAAAGTATGAGTTCATTGAAAGACCTGTACAAAGTTTTTATATTTACAATGTGGCCCTACCGCGCGTACATACAGTTAGCAGTAGTGTTAATGATATTTTTTAAACTGGGTATCATTGTCAAATGATATCAAAGCGCTGTTTGTTTCAGCAGACGCTACAAGGAGTGCGAGTTAAGTGAACGGTGTGATGAAGAAATTCGAAGTGTTACACTTCGGCGTTTCGTCTGGTGAGTGTGGTAGCCGGGGTCCACTTTATTTAAAGGTGGTGACGTATTTACAACCCTTCGGGTGTTGCATACGTCCATGGGCGGCGGTTATCACTTATCATCAGGTGAACCGCCAGCTCGTTTGCCACTATCTTATAGTAAAAAAAAAATTCTCGAGTGCTGTGTAAAGGGGGAGCGAAAAACAAAAGTTAAAGACTCGCTTTGGCGAAGCGGTTCAAAGTGAAATATCTAAATTGCAAAGAAGAGAATTGCACTAGTCGAATCAGAGCACGATACGGTTTACTGCAACAATACGTATGGAGGTTTGCAACGAAAGTTTCGTGTTACCGACTCGTTTGAAAGACGTGCTGTTTGTCGACAAACTTTGTTTTGCAACGTAAATATGAATGGGATAATTTCCGCGGAAGTTAATAGAACTAGTGGTTTCTAGTAGAACTGTTCATGAAATACAGGGAAGTAAAACATTTCATAAAGTTGTGTCCGTCTCATAAAATTCCACGGCGGCTTCTGTAAGGTAGAAATTCTCTTGTAACGAATTCCCAGCCCGCTAAACTGTGGTAGTATCGCAAGTAGCCTGTTAGTGTATATTATGATCTAAGGCAGATCCTGTTAAAGGTTGGCGACAGATGTCATTTAACATCAGGAGAGTAGCCTGCTAGTTTGCATTCTTCTGTTTTATTTTTATTTGTGAGAAGTCGTCAAAAGAGCTGGCAGTTCACCTAATCTTAAGTGATAACCCACCCCACCATGCCAAGCTACGCCTGAATATGTATAGCAATACATTAGTCCGAAAGGTTGCATATGCGTTGCTACTCACCAGACGAAATGCAATATAGCACTCACTTTACGTCGGTCTCCTGTGAGGTCATGGTACTCCCTCGGATGAGTCTGCCCATTCGTGCAACAGCAAAGAATGCTGCATGGCCCTACCACAGTCTCTAATAAAAGTAAACGCTCGATACAAAACGGATTGAGGATCGTTTGTCGAGGCCGCCAGGTTAGTCGATTATTTTAAGCAAAATTAATGATTAATTTCAATTAAATCACTGTGGAGTTGATTGATGCTCGCGATCATTTACTGACGCCATTCGCTTGACAATAGTTGCCATGGAGCGTTCAAAACTATTTAAAACACGAAATCCGCAACAAAGTATGTTTATTATTATCGTGTAATGATGTCATGTTTGCACTAATGAGTTAATTCGGCAGAGAAAAAAAAACTAACTTTTTCGCGAGCAGGTACTCTGGCCAACGACCGATTAAGAAAGTAGACCATATGATACATATGAAAACTTTTAATCTACATAAGCTTTCGCGTAGTGTCCAGTTTGTGGACACTCAGAAGTTAAGGGAAGAGATTTGTTGACAGTTGAGAGAGGCTTGTTGAAGCTGGTAACACTCGCACGCCGGCGTTACATAACACGGATAATTTGAACTAGGCACGTAAGCAAGGCACGTAAGTTTACGGGCACACAAGTGTCAACCCTAAGATCGTCCATCCGGTCGATACCATAACTAGGACGTCCCTCGGTCGACCCGACCACCTACATTTAATGAGTACAAAAACACATCTACAATTCCTTACATTTTTACTTATGGCAATCATTCAGCAATTCATTACTTATGGCGTTTACCACACCACATCCTGTGAACTGCCTCGTAGCTTGACTTTCTTCGACATAAGAAATATGACACGTTTAGACAAGACAGTTAGAGTCTTTTATCTTATTAAATTACTTATTCTCACCTACGTGGGGTCGGCATTCGATATTTTTAATACCGGCTGCCTGCCTGACGGAAAAATTACTTATTCTGCGGGGGAATTGAACCCATGAATGCCAGGCGCCGAATCCAATAGCTTAGCAACTGAGCTACCGAGTCTTCACAACAATATTGTGCATATAAATAAAAATAAATTCGTGTAAATGTTAAGAACGTGTTTCAGCGGATGGTGATTCATTTAAAAAAAGTATAAACCTGCATAGAGATTGGAAATATGACGTAATGTTTCAGTTGCGCGCTAAAACAAAAGGTTTTACGAGCGCGTGGATTGGAAGAATTTAATAAGTTTCAGCGACGATAACGCCAATCGTTTTCCCGCTGACATTATTTGAAATCGTGAATAATATTATATTAAATATACTAAATTCCTTTTGTATAATTAATAATATTTTCATACACTATTAAATTATTAAAATTATAACATATTTTGATAAATAAAAAAAACAAAGTGAAAGCAAAAAAAAAAAACAAAGGAAAATGATCAAGATAACACTTAAGAAAAAAAAATACACAAGTACTTTATGGTTAGATGGTATGCATAATGACGTTTTATAAAATCCCAAATATGAAAAATTGAAAATTAGTTAATAATCCATATTATATAATGAATACATTAAATAAATAAAACGCTAATTGTGTAGATTTTCACAGACTGACTAAATCATTTAAAAATTTCAATGTCAGTGATCTAATAGTCTGTGATCAAACAATCGCACAGATTAAAGATGTCGTCAAAAGAGTTTTGAACTGTCAACGAATATTACAGACCATTCCTATTAATTACTCTTTATAGTTTAATAATCCTTATATTACCAATATTATAAAGACGAAAATAAGACATCGGCTATAATTTATATACATATTTTATGTATATCTCTCTTTTTGTCTTAATGTTACACCTTCAGCCTATTCTACGCAGACGAAGTCGCCTATACATGTCCCACTGCTGGGCAAAGGCCTCCTCTATACAAAGGGTATCAGGGCATAGTCCACCACGCGGCCCCACTGCGGATTGGCAGACTTCACATATCTTCGAAATATATATATATTTTTTGTTATTATTTCGAAAATATGCAGTTTCCTCACGATGTTTTCCTTCACCGCGGAGCACGTGAACAGCTAGTACCTCATATTATATTATTAACATCGGACGCGATAATATTTTCTAGGAGAAATTTAATCAGCCCACTTTTACCGTGGTATTTTAACTGTGTGCCACGCAACAGTTTCTACCATTGCACGAATGGGCAGGCTAGTCCGGGTAAGTACTGCGACCTCACAGAAGACCGGCGTCAAGTGGAAGTGTCACACTTCTGCGTTTCGTCTGGTGAGTGAGGTAGCCGGGGCCCACTTTATTGAAAGGTGACAACGCATCTTCAACCATACGGGTATTGCAAATGTTCATGGGCGGCGGTTATAAAAGAAAAGTATCATGATGCCTCATAAAAGGCCGGCGTGAAGTGAAAGTATAATACTTTCGCGTTCCGTCTGTTTAGTGAGGTAAGCGGGCCCCTCTTTTGTGTATGTTGGCAGCGCGTCTACAACCACATTGAACCACCGGTGAACCGCCGACACGTTTCCAAAACTTTCCCCATAAAAATAAAAATAAAAATCACCTGTCAGCCGGTATCATTTCGGAAGTGTCGTCATCCATAGGGTCGTCGACCACTTCCACCTCCAGCTCCACCGGCGGTAGAGAGCTCATTTCAATGGATCCTCACGTGGCACGTTCTGCAAAGAACAAGGCCCCTTTAAAATAAAAACACAAAACAAGTAGGAGTCGCGCTCTGTGAATTCCGTATAAACTTTAAGGTGGGGTGGCAGGCATGCGCTAGCTAGATTCGAACAAAAAAAAACTTAGCTGTCATACAGGATAATTACGAATCAACAATCGTCGAATGATTTCGTTTACTTCCAATGGGCAATCTTGACGTTCTTCACGACTTTCGACGATTCAAGGCCAACAGGGTTACAGTATCCTATGGGTTTCGATGAGCGAGTTTTGAATGTACCAAATTATGATACATAAATGATCGAATCTAATGAATGCTTCGACTTGGATGGTTAGTAGACAGCAAGTTCCCACCACCACACCCCCATAAAAATGGGGTTAGCAGACGGACAGATACACAGACAACAAATATATGATAACAATACTATGAAGGTTCTTCCGTTATCGATTGTATTACGAAACATGAAGAAAATTAAAAGCTATTTAAAAAAACTTGACTATTTTTTATGCATGTACATGATAAAATCTTATTCTCTGCAAACAATTTTGTGTTAGGTGAAGTGGAATTGCAAAATTATACTTGGACCACAAAATATCGTAGGTATGAGTAAATTTTCCAATCGCATAATTTCTAAATTAAGACAGTGACACGCGCCCTACTTTGGCTAAGCTTATTTACATGTTATCGTAATTAACTAAATGATATTGTGAATTTCGCCTCCTCTTTCAGGAGCTGGGGTGTTTTTTAATTAATTACGATCGCTCATGGACATTAACAACACCTTCGGTTTGCACAAGTGTTGCCATTATTGAAAAGAGCTGACCCGGTTGCCATGTACTTCCACTTCACACTTCTTCACTTCTGTGGAGCTGTGGTAGTGGTGAGCCGGCGCATTCGTGCATCAGCAGAACCTGATGCGTGGACCAACCACGAAATAAATGGCAGTAACTAATTAAGGCAATAAGAACTTCGGTGTATAATTATTCGTTATGCAATAGATCTATATATTTAATTTTTAATCGTAGATTTCCGCAATCCAAGACTTCAATAAACATATTATTACGTCACTGCTCCAACTACGACAATGTAGCAATAATAATGTTCGCAATTAAAAAGTACGGTAAAAAAAATCGGACTATCGATACGAGTATGATGTCGCCCGCTTCCTATATTTATCATGTTGGCAAAACTGTGTATTGAGTTTTTGAAGTCAAATTAATTAAAATTGGTGGATTTCTTAGTAAAAATAACAAGTTTTAAACATTTTTTTCTCGAAAACTATAAGCGACCGCCGAATTCTGCTTGTTGATTAATTCATAAGAGATGTTTCTCTATCGTTTAAAATTTATTTTAATTGAATTACGCCAGGGTTAAAGTTATTTACATTCGCCAAAAGTACTTGTGCCTCATTTTAACTAAGCGTCTAAACCAAACGAAAACCTGTTGCAGGAACGGACTGGCTAATCCTGGCAAGTACCACACCCTCATAGATGATAGATGTGAAGTTCAAAAATAATTAAGGAGACAACAAATACGCCAGACATGGTTTTTATTTGCCGTTTTATAGATAACGGTCAAACTCGTTTTTTTTATTTATTAGAATGAAAACTGAAATATAAAAATATACTGACTCCCTTAATTAATAGTAAACTATAAACTGTATGTTGGGGAAGAAAGGTTCTCAAGTGGCAGCCTCGTACTGGCCATTGCAATCTCAGATGATCCCCCACTAGATGGAGTGACAAGTGCAAATGTGTGGGAAGTCGATGAATGCAGGTGGGGGAGTCCTATGTACAGCAGTGGATCCAAACAGGCTGAAAAGATGAAGATGATGAAAACAGATATTACATTTATTAATTATCAAGATATAAGGTCTTCTGGTCCCTACATCACAGTAAACATAAAAAGGCCTCACGTTGGAGGTCTTGAGTGGAACAAGCCCACAAGGCCAAGCGCTTTCTTATATTCCATTAATTCATTACTTAATTTTCTCTATTGCTAAAATTTTTTTTTGTTTGCTATATCTAAGTAGTAGATTGCAAAAATTTGAACATTCAGGTTATATCTCTTTTAAACACATGTTATTCCAGACCAAAAAATTAGTTCTGGCTGTTTATGGTAAATGTATGCCTATAAAAAAAAGGAACACCGAAAAAGAAAATGTAACAGAGGTAAATATATTTTAATGGTCTTTCAAGTTGGTTAAGCCTTTCGATATCATCATTATGATTGACAGCTCGATTCAGAAGCAATCCAACTCAGGTTAGGTTAGAAGACTAAGGTTTAGCCACATCCCCCCTTTTACAGGAGGTTCACCAAATCCTCGAGAAATGCTCTCTATATGCAGAAATATGCTTACAAATAGTAGATAATAAAAAAATGATACTTTGACTTTTTAATTACAACATTATTCGGTTTATAATTGATGTAAGAGCTTTTGTACTTTTTATGTTGTGATGAGTATTTAAGAAACAATTTACTTTAGTGTTATTATTTACTTTAGTGTTATTAGGTCATAACAATTTCACAGCAACTACTGAAAAACTTGTATAAGAATTTATAACATTATTTTTTAATAAATAGGTACATTATATTAAAATATTTCTAGAGTGAAGTCCAAGGTTCCTTCCATGATTATCTTCCTTCTAACATCCCTCGTCTATCTAACATCAATAACCTTTTAACATATGTAAATTCTTCATTTGTTTATATCTTATGTAATTTTATTAATAGTTGTAATATTAAGTGGTGAACTTAGCATAATAATTACAATCTTATTTTCTTTGTTCTAGGTAATTTTTATAATTATGTAAATTTGTTTAGATATTCCTTATATAAAAATATACATATTTAACATTCATAATATCATCCTCTTCATCATTTCATTATAAAAGTTAGGCAAAAATAAACAACCAGAAGTGTTCATTGGCGTATTCATTGAAAACCGCCAAAAAAGAAAAGAAGAAGAAGAAGAGTGAAGTCCAAGCACATAATATAAAAGAGTAATGCATACTGACGAAATACATAATGACTATTATTTTCAATATAAAATTTTGATTTGCTGCTATAATAGTCAATAACTTTCTATAATTAAATACAGAGAGATTATAATTTGATGGGTAGTTCCTATAGTTTTCCTAATAACACGATAAGAAAAATAAAAATAAATATGCGATCAAATCTTATGGTCGTATTTAATCATGCACATTGCAGTTGGTAAAAACTTCACATCAGTTAATGTCATTGTACTTACGCGTGACGGATTAAGACAATAACGTAACAAAAGAAAATATCTTACCTTCTTTCAAAATTGTAGAATCATCCAACTGAATTGATTAAGTTAAATGAAATCTTGTACAAAAAAACACACGATTCGTAATCGAAACTACACTTGATGTTTTAGATACCATCAGTTTTCCATATATTGCACAATATATCAAATTTTCACATCCACTAAAATTTCTTGATCATTGGCACGAATCCACTGAATTTTTTGACATTTCGTTCATTACTGCGTGATAGGATATTTCCAAATATAGTTTAATGCGCTACTAGAATATGGACTACCAAACTTTATGCACTATATTAAACGTTTAAAAGGTGCAAATTAATTTTTAACAGTGAACTATATTCTAAGATTTAACACAATATTAACCAAAACAGACGAATCAATCGACTACAGCACGGACAATCGACATTCGACTGCATCGATGTTGCCAATAAAAATATGCAACTGCACTGCAATCAAAATATTAAAAAAGGTTGCTATTGGTGTTGCAATCATTTTTTTTAATAGAAAATGACAGTATATTTTGGATGGGGTTGTTAGTGTAGTCTCCATCTTCCCAGTCCAAAAAGGAAGAGGGAAAGGGCACAAATTGATCCAAGGGCCTCATCTGGAGGTTTGAACTTGATTCGCAATTAATTACATACCTAATGAGCAAACAGTCCTATCCAGGTGAGTTAAAAACAGAGAGAGAACAACACGAAGTGATTCAAAAATACCACACGAGTTTATTGTGCATAGTAAAGTGGAAGTATGACAAATACTTTCGCGTTTCGTCTGGTGAGTGAGGTAGCCGGAGCCCAATTTTCAAAAGGTTGTCAACGCATCTGTAACTCTCGGGTGTAGTAGATGTCCATGGGCGGCGATATTCACTTAATATCAGATGAACCACCTGCTTGCTTGTCAACTTTTCACATTAAAAAAAAAAATAAGCTACAAATTGGGGACCTTACGTTCGACGACGAACGTACTATGCTTGCTATCTGTATATTTGAAAATAAATACGGCTGCGCTGAGCTTATTGGCCAGTGTAGTCAACTTAGAGGCTTTCCCCCCAGAATTTAGGGGTAAAAAATTGCTCCGGGGTCTTTTTAGTGGAGAAAATGTTGAGACTTTAAAAAGTTTAATTTAAGGACTTCGTAAAATTATATCACTAGCTGATCCAGCAAACGTTGTTTTGTGGAATTTCGAAAAATCCGTTCTTACCTGACCTCTACTCAGCGAAAGGAATATTCGTACCAAATTTCAAGTCTACGTCTTATGGCAGAGATATCGCGATGAGTCAATTATCAGTGGAAATCTCTTATACACAGCGTGTCGTTACAACCGCAACAGTAAATGAACAAACGTATAATGCTACTTGTCAATAATCTTATGAATATATAATACGTTAAATAAATCCATAATTAAAAAAAAATATATTTTTCAAACAAACTAATTAAAAAAAGAAACAAAATTTGTAACACCTATACAACTACAACTGACTGATTCAACATTCAGAGACTTTTTTATTCGTTGCCACAACGTCGCATTACAAGTCTTTCCTTCTAACAGTATGTTTTATCTCTTTTAAATTAATTCTACCTATTCATATGCTTTGTGACCTTTACAAATGAACTTTACCAAAGAGTACTTTTGTATATCTGAACTTTACGTTACAGTGTTATACGTAAGGCTGTTTTAAAAATGTTTGTTTTGTAAAATTTAATAACTCTGTAAATTTATAGATGTTTAAAGAATGTAAATGCTTAATACAATTTTAAAAAGTTATCCTCTATATGTGTGTTGATTTATTATAGCTATTGTAACGAAACTGTATATAAAGATTGAAAAATATAGCAAAATTTGTGACATCGTTACTTTGTCTTTGCGTTTTTCAAAATCGAGCGTTGTAACGTGCATTTTCCATCGATTTGACATATAAGAATCTGGTTTTAGACTGGGTGTGTCTTTTGTTTTAGGTGAGTTAGCAGACACCTTGAATTGAGTTGAATAATCTTGGCTGCGGGAACCAAGGTTATTCAACTATACTACTTTAGCTCGATAATGCCTGGCTCAGCAACCCTTTAACACTATCATTGACCACCATCTTCGTTAGGGTTGTTCGTTTGGAGTAAGTTTAGGCTAGGGTGGTTTGTAGGAAGTCGCAGCGGTTGTTGGGACTTACTACCACACCCGTTCCATAAAACCATAATCGTCCTAATTATAAGTTACTTCTCCGCCACCTCTTGTTTCACTACAATCTAATATGATAATATTCACAAACGGCAAAGACACCCGACGGAACGATATGTTGTGTTAAGCTGGCTAGGTTACATCAACCATCAGACAATATTTTTAAGCATAGTCCATTTCAAGTCTGCCATCAATAAAACACGGGCCCAGTAAAAATTGGCAATACCAGAGCACTCAGTACATTGAAAGCCTTCAAGTAACATAGAAACTTTCATAAGAGATTTCCAGACAAAGTTTCTCACACATTGTTGCATCGACACGAATCACTTAACAATTTCCTTAGTTTATGACCTGATGATGGTTTCGAATGATTGGTGTATCAAAGAATAGGTAAATAACTTCGCACAGGCATATACATTGGACAGATCTCTGTTTTACGAATACAACGATAAATAGAAATATAAGCTATCATATAATCTATAGTCGACGCATGCATTAACACTTGATTGTACGCTTGCACGATAGACTAATAAATATATATTAACGAATTGTAAATAATCCCAAACAAAGAGATCGGTCTATGTGTTCTAGGAAACTGATAAGCATGTTTTTCCTTAAATTAATACAAATTATATATCATGGTACAAAGTTTTTCAGTAGTGGGGATCGAATGCAAACCTTTCTGTCGCATGAGGGATTCACTATCGTCACACCAATCGGTTCGGCGATAAGAGCGTACATAAATGATGTTGTGTCGGAAAATTAATTTAAAAAAAGATGATTACTCATACTCTTTTGGTCCCACCTTCAGCGGGTCCTTCTTTTAAAATAATATACCGCATACGTCTGTGTAATTGCCATTAATACTAAAAAAAAAAAAATTATTATTTTTGGGTGACTGCCGAAAATATACATAGAAGTAATGTACAATGTAAGAAATAAAAAATACTACGTTATTTGTAACAATTATATTTATAAATAAATTAATTTATAAGTACTTTTCATTACGCTTTATCATTAAAAAATCCAAGTGGAGGATATTTTTCTAGAATTGGTCCCATGGCCGATGGGTAGAAGGCCATAAATTTAAACCTTTCACCCATCTTCTTTGGATCGACGAGCATATCAAAGGTAGACTTTAATTTTTCTTTTTCCTCTTCTGACCTGGCGTTGTCCATTAATATCTGGAAACGAAAAAAGAAAAAGACTCGTAAATTAATTCATGATTCTTTCGAAACTACCGTGGTTTTAATGCGAGAGAGAGAGAGAGAGTGTCCATGCGAAAAACCCTCCATGAGAACACCCAGAACATTAACTGGTAGTCACACAAATATTTATCCCATATGGGAATCAAACCCACAATCCCCAGCTCCGAATGGCTTATAACTTGACCACAGTCGGTCTAGCGGTAATCACACCACACTAGCCAAAACAGTTTCGACTATGCAATAAAACAAGTAGTTGCTAAGACAATTTTGGAAATAAAAAAGGATAGAGTAAATATACTATACTTAGGTATCACTAGCGAATTACCTGCAGTCTAGCTTTAGCATGCAATCTCTCAAGGAAGTCCTTTTGCCGCACTGGGCCTGCCACAACTGCGTAGTTCTCATTATCCGGTGTCTTCGAAGCTGCTATGCGCAATTGGCTGAAGTCCACATCAGCGGTGAGATCACACTCGCCGGGATTTTCGAGGGGATCGACGACTTTGTGCTTATGAAATGCCTAAAGTAAAAAGTAATGTAACATCATATATACATCCCACTACTGGGCAAAGGCCTCCTCTATACAGAGGTTATTAAAGCAAGGAAACCACGCGACCACACTGCAGATTGGCGGACTTCACATATAATCGAAATGCTTTTTTTTGTTATTATTTCGAAAATATATATGCAGGTTTCCTCACGATGTTTTCCTTCAACGCTGAGCAGTATAAGTCGGCATTTAAATATTAAAATTAACAATTTCATTGAAGCCGGCACCGCAGATCGAACTTAGGTTGCTCAGTATATTAAATTAAAAGCGAGCCCCGGACAGTGAGCTTTCACCGTTTGTGCCTAATATATCAATATTAAAAACTTGTTAAAAAGATACAATTTACTTTGTTACTCTGTTTTTCTAGTTGACTAGTTCTTAGTCATGTTTGAAGTATCGAGCTTAGCTCTTTATTGATATTTGTAGGATTAGTTTCCAATCAATTCAAAATGATACGACATATAATAGGGTCAAAGACATATGATAGATTCACGCACAAGGTTTTATTGTTGCACGAATGAACAGACTCGTCCGGAATTACCACCACCTCACAGAACACCAGTCTGAAGTGGAAGCGGCATACTTCTGCGTTCCTTCTGGTGAGTGAGGTAACCGGGTCCCACATTTTTAATGCGGCGGCGCTAATCTGTTAACATCAGGTGAATAACGATCATATTAAAAGTACGTAAAGTAACAGCCTATACATGTCCCACAGCTGGGCAAAGCCCTCCTCTATACAGAGGGTATCAGGGCATAGTCCACCACGCGGCCCCACTGCGGATTGGCGGACTTCACATATCTTCGAAATACGTGTTTTTTATTGTTTCGAAAATATGCAGGTCTCCTCACGATGTTTTCCTTCACCGCGGAGCACGTGATAAATCAGCACTAAACTTCATTGGTGACGGCACCGGGGATCGAATTCAGGTTGCTCAAGTATATTGAATTAAGGCGAGCGCCAGGACACTATCACGGCTCAATCGATCATATTAATATATATATATTAATTAAAAACTATTAATAAATGATTAGTTTAAAAAATGAAATCTTAATAACCAATTAATTTTGCATATTAATTTTACTTTGAATTACCCACCTTTCATACACTTGACAGAATTGGTTGGTTGTTCACAAAAGGTCGTGAAATTCGGTAACATTCAGATTTTAATAAACTCAGGCAAATTAACTGTTAGTGCACTAGCTAATGAAAATGACTATAATCGTAATTAGTAACAGTAAAAAACCTGTACATAAAAAGTTAATTTGAAAAGATAATGCTTAAATTTTATTTTTAGGATAATGCCAATGTATTGCGGCAGTTACAGATGATATAAAGCCTTAAAATTGAATGGTGGCATCATATACTATAACTACTTACCCTAAAAGTATCACCTTTCTCTCCTTCATGTCCGTAATCCGCTATCAACGCTAACCCACCACATGTATCAACACGATCTGCCAATTGCCGAGCGATGCCCAAACTCCTTGCACTGATTTCAAGTTCTGTCCTATCCCCAGCATCAAGAGGTGGTCTGATTAGCATTTTAGCTGATTGAGTTTCTTTTCCCGATATTCTGTAGTAGAGTTTCCCATTTTCATCCATATCAATCAGAATTTCCCGCCAACCATCTTCAGTTTTCTGAATGTGTTTCAAATAATCACAAAGATCAGGAATGTCTATTCATACATTGAGTACTACAGCTTGTGCCGTATGATTTGAGGTAGCAATTTCTAAATGACCATGTTGTAAATGAAAAAAAAAAAATTATAAAGCATGAAATTTTATTTAAACAAAGATATCTGATACTAAAAAAAATATTAATATGTACTGCAGATGGTTCCACAAGCATTAAGACAAAGACAAAAAGTATACCAAGAACAGAAAACATTGTTAAAATTTGGATCAAACCCACAACTAAGCATGCAATGGCAGTTGTGTGTCCATATAGTGTGATCTTGGTATTAATCCAGAATGGTACTGGCAGTACAAACATTTATGTAATTATTACATAGTTTAACCCTGTTGAGGTAAACTGAGCTTGCTTTTTTATCCTGCAATTAGGTAATTGTTAGGTCTATCACCATAATTGCCATATACTTGGTTGACCGAGAGATAATGAGACATTTTCACATAGTAAAAACTGAAAAATGGAATCTTTTGCCCAGTCTGTCATCAGCATGGGAATAACCCAACTTTTAACCAAACTCTGTGGTGCAGTTGTCAATGTATTAGTTTCGGCGCCGGGTATTGTAGGATGGATCCCCAAATGGGACAACTCTGTGCAACATGGGTAATTGTTTCGGATCCGTTTCTTTACCATGTGAAATTTATGTTGGCAAAACATCCTTAAAACACAGAATAATGCTATCCTACAGTATGTGATTTGTATTTAAACTTGTGATCTTACCTCAAATTTATGAATCGGTAGCACATCAAAGAACTCATGGGCAATAAACCATGAAAAGTTTTCAGGCACTTTCTTCAAATCATTGTACCAATACACTTTAATTCCACTAACAGTTTCACCCTAAAATATTTTACAATAAAATTGGAAATTAAATTTTTTCTCATATTCTATTTATTAATTAGAAATTATACTAAAATTATAATTATTAACATTGTAGAGATTATTACATTGTAGGAGATTGTTTCCGAAATTTCTACTAAGTGCAATGAAATATCATCTGGTTTGTAGAAGTACCTTTCAATATTTAATAGTAAAATTTTCATTGTGCCTGAATAATTACATAATTCCTAACTTTAACTGGGTGACAAATAAATTTTAAACGATAGAGAAAACTCACGAATTTATCAGAATTTGGCGGTGCTTAGTTTTATAAATAATGCATAGTGTGATTTTTCCGCCATTTTTTTGTTGTCAATATTCAATTCGGCTCGTATTTCTTGGTGGTCATAAAAAAAAACCTAACATCGAACGTTGAGCTCCCGCCTTAACCTTCTAACCTAATCTATCCGATCATTCGCTCTGGTCGGTTTGTACTCATTAAATTTAAAAAATCGGAATGATCGATACCTTTAGATGGCGCCCGCTTCCTAAAATCATTTGGCAGAACTGTTAAAGAACTTTTGAAGTCAAACGAATAAAATGGTGGATTTCTTAGTACAAAAAACAAGTTTTAAATATTTTTTTTCTCGAAAACTATAAGCGACCGCCGAATTCTGCTTGTTGATTAATTCATTAGAGATTTATCCCTATCGTTTAAAATTTATTTGATTTGAATTACGCCGGAGTTAAAGTTATTTACCTTTACCCATAATTCTTTACCTACCCTTAAAAAATCCACCATCATAGTACCGTTTCCTGGTCCAAGTTCCACCAATTGCAACGGTTTTCCGGGTCCCATTTTTTGTGTTTCGGAATAAAACCAAATCGCCAGGATTTCTCCAAAGAGTTGACTAATTTCTGGAGAAGTTATGAAATCTCCAGTTTGGCTTATCACATCTTTTTTCATATAATATCCTTCAGTGGGGTTTGTAGATATAATATGCATATACTCGGCTACCGTCAAAGGTCCATTTAAACGTAATTTCTCCTTAATAATCTCCACCAAGGTTGGTGAAGAACCTGGAGCCGGCATTTTCAGTGTTTTTGGATCAGGTCGTTTCACAATTTTGTAGCCTTTATTACGTCTACTAAATGCATTAATTATAATTGGCCTTGTGCATGCCCGAAATAAATATCGAGTATTCATTTTACCAAAACAATAATATTATTCTAATCAACTGTTCTTTAGAGGTTATTCAAACGTCACTATCTGTCAAAATAGTGTCAATTGTCAATCAATCAAGTGTTTAAAAATTTAAAATGGCGGATTGAATGTCGAGTATCATCTTCGAGAAACTTTGATGAATTTTATAATCTGTAATTCTGTATGAATAAATCCGAAAACGTTAAACTTAAGATACTAAAACTGTCGTCAAGTAGTTGTCACTTGTCAATGTGAAATTGGAAATTGTCTTGTCATTTGTCAATGAACTTGAAGAAATGTTTTGAAAATGTGTTCGAATATTTTAATTTAGTAATAAGGGCTGCCGTTGGGATAAAAAATATGAACTATTATTTTTTTAAGTCTAATAAATACTTTCTACTTATTAAGCCGAAGTTGTAACCGAAATAAATAATATAGGTTATAATTCAATCAAACCGTCTCACACGTGTTTTTGAATAAATAGTTGGATTTAACAGCGAAAAATGACTGAAAGTGACCAAAAAAATTATGCTGAAAGCAATACAAAATACAAAGACGGGGTGAATAAGAATGCCCGATTAATAGTAAAAAACGTATCATTTCAAGCTACAGAGGAATCGTTAAAAGAACATTTCTCTACGTTCGGTACTGTAGAGGAGGTAAAATTGTTGAAAAGACCGGATGGGAAACTTGTGGGATCAGGCTTTGTGCATTTTACGCAAGTTCCCATGGCAGCCAAGGCACTAGCGGCCACAAATAAAAAGCCTTTCATGGGTATGATTTTAATTTTTTTTCTTTTTAATAGAGCAGTTTTGTTAATTTTATTTCTTTAATAGCTTATATTAAGCTGATCCTATCCAATTATTAAAATAAATTTTAAATTAATTAATTGTATGTGCAGGTCGTCCAATATTTGTAGCATGGGCTGTTCCAAAACATAAGTATGTGAATCAAGAGCAAGGTGTAAATAATGAAAAAAAAGTTAAAAATGGGCCATCCAGCGATTTTGAAGAGGGTATAATAATTATAACTTATTTTACCTATTGATTTTTTTTGAATTTTTGATTTGCTTGAATTTATTGCATTTGATAATATGATAATATATTTTCGATTACAGTGAAAAAAGAAATCTTGTTACCTGAAGAGGAAGATAAAAATAAAATAAGAATAAATCGTAATGCTCGTCTGATAGTTCGTAATGTTTCATTCAAGGCTACAGAAGAGTTACTCAAGGAACATTTTGAACCCTATGGTATAATTCAAGAGGTCAAATTGTTAAAGAAACCAGATGGAAAACTGGTTGGATGTGCTTTTGTACATTTCAAAAATGTACCCATGGCAAAAAAGGCGCTGTTAAACACAAACATGAAGCCATTTCTGGGTAGATTTAAGTTATATTAATATTATTCAAAATTAACAAATCCCTTTAAATTTTCTATATTCAATGTTTTTAGTGAGGTATCTTATAATATTGTCTAATCTAATTGTAACATAATAATAGAATTCAAAACATTTTATAGTTTATTGGTAACTATTTAGTTATTTTATTTGATTTGATTCAACAGTTGTTCAAAAGCTGTTCTTTTAATTTTTTATATATATTTTTGATTTTGTAATTTAAAAACTAGGTTGGTTAAAAAATTAGTATGTTAAGTTTTCTAGAATTTGTTTATATTTATTTATGCTTCATACATATTTCTGTCTCAGGCAGGCCAATATCAGTGGATTGGGCTGTTGCTAAAGATAAATATATGCAACATGTGGTCTCTCAGCAAATTGAGATGGAAGAAAAGGTAAAGAAGGAAGAATCAGACAGCGATTATGAAGACAACAAGCCGTTGAATATTTCTAATGAGGAGCTAAAGCAAGAAGTTAAAAGTGAGTTGTGGATTTATTTCAACACTTAGTTAACGGTGCAAGCGGTTTTTTTATGCGGAAAGTTGTCGAACGAGCAGACGGTTCACCTGATGTTAAGTGAATACCGCCGCCCATAGACATCTGCCACACCCGAGGGTTACAGATGCGTTACAACCTTTTGAAAATTGGGCTCCGGCTACCTCACCAGACGAAACGCGAAAGTATTTGTCATACTTCACTTTAGGCTGGTCTTCTGTGAGGTCGTGGTACTTACCCGGACAGGCCTGCCCATTTGAGCAACAGCCGAGGCTGCTGCATGGCCCTGCCACCGTAAAAATTTCTCTTTACATTAGGTGAATCTGAGGATAGTTCTAATGCTGATAGCAGTAATGATGAAGAAGATAGCTCTGACAATGACAATGATGATGATGTTGAGGCGGAAGAGGAAGATGATGAAGAGGACTCTGATGATGAGCAAGAAGATGCCAACATGGAGGACAGTAGACACATTGCCAGTACTCAAACTGAGAAGATACGGTTAGTTCTTATAATTTTTCTTCACAAAATTTGATAACAATATATTAGTAGATCAAAATGATGTGATCTTTAACATTAATAAATAGTTAATTATTTATTATATTAATGTGAATACTACACATTATTCTATGCCGTGTGATTGTCCCGTTACCATGGACTATAAAGTGTATCAGAAGTCTGGAATTAATATCAAAATGAAATTTAAATCTGATAAAATAGTTTTTATTTAACAAATAGTGCTTGGTATTTCATTGTTACTCATAAGCAGCAGTTGTAACATAACATTGAAATCTAATAGTCCAAACCCCTTTTTTTAAATTATTATTTATATTTTATTATATTCATTTGAATTTTAATCTTTTTTTTATGTGAGAAGTGAGTTGCAGATGCGTTGTCACCTTTTAATAAAGTGGGCACCGGCTACCTCACTCACAAGAAGAAACGCAGAAGTAAAACACTTGCACTTTATGCTGGTCTTCTGTGAGGTTGTGGTACTGTAGGCCTGCCCATTCGTGCAACAGCGAACACTATTGCTTGGTCCTACCACTCGCAAATTTTATCTTATTACAAAAATCTATAAACTCCTTTCAGTGTAAAGCTCAATGATGCCGAAGATGGTCTGACCGTATTCTTGACTAATGTTCCATTCAGTGTTGACAATGATCAACTTAAGGAGTTTGCTGAGAAGACTGGTCCGGTGCAATACGCACTCATTTGTTTGGATAAGTTGACTGAGCATTCTAAGGGTTCAGGATTTGTTAAGTTTGTGGTGAGTGCTTTATCTGTATAGCATAGCATACTAATTTATGCATAGCTGGTGAATGGAAAATATTAAAGAGAACATTTTGATTATATTACCAAATACAGGGAGGCTTTTCTAAGTGTATCCATTTTTTTTAATTAAATTCTAGACATAAATCATGTTATATAAAAAATGATAAATATTTAAAATCACTCTTAAATAATTAATTACATTCATTTGAACTTATCTCAAAAAGTGCGTGATTTATACGCAACTCATTTATTTTACGCATTCATAACTAACACGCTCACAAGTTCGTTTGTGAGCGTGTTAGCAACAGCCGAGGCTGCTGCGTGGCTCTACCACGGTTAAGCTAACATGTGATCCCACATTAATTTCATAGGTATGAGAACTCTTCTCTGAAGATACTCCTAACTCTAAATTGTAACATCCAAAATTAGAAGTCAAATCATATACCAGCGACCTGTATTTTATTGCTACAGACAGTGAGATGAAGTCTGCGTGTCTGTAAAAATATATTTGTTGTTTTAATAACTCCATAACACCTTTTACAGAACCAAGAAGACACTTCTAAATTCCTATCTTTACCACCTGACCAATTACGTCTCGAGGGCCAGGTGATGGTGGCGAAGCCGGCTTTGAAACGGGAAAACCTGCAGAAGGGCGATAAGAAGCAGCCAAAGGATAACAGGAACCTTTACCTTGTTAAAGAAGGAGGTAAGAATAAAATTTATTAAAAACAATTTCGAATCGTAAATAAGTTTAGATAAATGAATAAATTCGTTTAGATGCTTTACCAACTAAGCTCAGCGGTCGAAAAGTCTGGGCGCGAACCAGAAGAAGCGGATTCGAATCCCGCGGCGCTGAAAGTTTTTTTTGATTTATATAAAATTTTACAATTTGAAGTTTTATCAGTTTAACAATAGAAATAAAAATTAATCTTTAAATTAAACTGTACTTTAGCACAAAAAGTTAAATTTAAAGATTCAGAAAGATACCAAGCCATGAAGGCTTATGCAATACTTCTTTTACCTAAATCTTTGAATGTTTTTGACCCACATGAGTAAGATAATGATTCATAGATAATTGTTTCGGATCTGCGTGTTTGTTTGTATGTAATACGTCCTTACAACACAGGATAACGTTATCCTACAGTAAGGCACAATGTTTTCGAAGCGAAGACTACAGCAGATCTTTCTAGGTTCTAGTGGTTGGGCCTTACTAGCCGGCCCTTGCCGAACAAAAGCAATGCGTGTGTTGAGATTTGAACCCTGGACTGCGGTGAACAGTGATCGTGGCCGGCACGAAGGCGGCGGAGGGCGTCTCCGCGTCGGACATGGCGAAGCGGCTGACGCTGGAGCGCAGCAAGACCCAGATGCTGAAGAATCTGAACAGGCGAGTTTCTTAATGACACGTTTTATTAACTTCTTTATCTGTCCATCTGTTCACTACAATTTTAGTTACCCTCATAGGTACCACGACCTTGACATTAACCTGATTTTTTTTAAATTAGTTCAATTGTTAGATATTCAACACATTTTTATCTCATTTCCCAGCGACAAAATTGCCGTTGAATGTATCAACAACTGTTATTACATTGTCGTTATCGCTGTGATTTCTATGACCATATTTTTTTATCATATCCGCGAAATTCGAATCGTTGCCTGATCGTTTGCCAAGTGTCCGGGGCGCTCGCGTTTAATATACTTGAGCAACCCGAGTTCGATCCCCGGTATAGGACTAATGGATTTGTTAATTTGGAGTGCCGAATTACCATCACGTTTTCAACGGTGAAAGAAAACATCGTGAGGAAACAATTTAAATTGTTTATAGTGCTAATCTTTGCACTTAAGATTGAACATCGTCGGTGTGGCGATCAGCCGTTTAGCTCGGTGGCTAGAGCGTCAGGCCGCGAATGCCGAAGACGTGGGTTCGATTCCCACAGCGGCGACAATCTTTTCGTACTTTTTCTACATGTTTTAATGTTCAATCTTAAGTAAGAGAGATCATCAAGAGATTAGCACTATAAAAAACTTTAATAAAAAAAATTATATTTCGAAGATATTTTAAGCCCGCCAATCCGCAGTGGGGCCGCGTGGTGGACTGCCCTCTGTACGGAGCAGGCCTTTGCCCAGCCCTGGGAAATGTACGGGCCGTTGCTTTACTCTCACACTGCCACCGTCAGGTTCGTGTCCCGCTACCGGCTGGTGGTGGCGAACCTGCCCGCGCAGTGGGACGACCAGCGTTTGCGGCGCGAGTGCGTCCGCGCCGCGGGCCGAACTGCGTGCGTTACGGAAGCGCGCATCATGCGCGACCTACGCGCTCCGCCCGACCGCCAGGGGAGGCACCCGTGAGTGGAGCATTACTAACTTCAGCCCGTTTGAGTCCACTGCTGAACACAGGCCTCCCCCATAGACGGAGCCACCCGCATCCATCGACTTCCCGCACACATGCACAGGTCGTCACCCCATCTAGTGGGGGCCGTCCCACTCTGCGATAGCCAGCACGAGGCTGCCACATCCAAGGTAACGGACAAAGCTCGGAGGATTAGCAAGCTGAAGTGGCGACGGGCCGGCCATTTAGCTCGTAGAACATTATTTTTACGCAGGAAAAATCCTTTACATTATCCAGAATGTGGGAGGGAGATAGAAACGGTCTCTGTCGCATCGGCATACTGTGTATATAGAAGTCCCGGTTATAAACGGTATTTGTATTTGTATAACTGATGTAACGCTTTCAGTCCTTAGACTATTAAAGCTTCATCGAACGCAGAACCGGTGGACTAGCCAGAACCCACGGGTTTGAGGTCCTCCTCAGTGGGTAGGTCCGCGCATGTACCCATGCGTGCGTTAATTATGGCATGTCGCGTACGGGCCATCGAGGGTCGGTGCGGACCGTGACCCCGATGGCCGTTTACTGTGCTTGTCGATTAGTCGGTGGCTGGGGGCGGTGAGAACCGCCCTGGGAAGTTGGAAGCGGTAAGCCATGTTGCACCTGTCCGCATTGGCCGGGGACACGGGAACACGAAGACGCAATTTTCCCCGGTGCGACTATGGCCCTCTTAGGCACATATGTCACAGCGGTGGTATTCCGCCGTGGACCATGCCATGCGATTACGTCCCTTACCTCCCTGGATGGTCACCACAACCACACTGTCCACTTTTAGGACCAACGGCTATCGTTATAGGAATATAGGGATGCCTGTGACACTGCTTCTATTTCTTCATGGTTCCCTGTAAAACTGTGAAGATATCCCTATTTGTCTAGTCAGTCTCTCATCGTCAGTACCTCTACCAGCTACTGCCTTTTCTCAAATAATAGAAGGGAAAACTCACAAAAAACACTCAAGCCACAGTCTCAGTGAAATGTCAAGCCTACAGTGAAAAGTAGTTAGGCCTTCATATGCCTTGACTAAATCATTTCTAGTTCACGTAAAAGATATTTTAAATTCTTTCAATAAGAGCTTAAGTTAAACCTTTATTGAATAAAGATAAGACTTTGAAATGGTTTAATTTTAAATAAAAGATATTTTATTTGACATTGTCATTATAACACGGTTTGGAGACTTATGTGTGATTATTTAATCAATAAGTGATTTTATCCTGGTCTCCAGGTCCAAGGGCTATGGTTTCGTGATGTTCACACGCCACGAGGACGCCCTATCCTGTCTCAGGAAGCTAAACAATAACCCAGACATCGTGGACAGGAATAATGTAAGTATTTCGGAATCCAGTCTTTCCTCATCGATAGCTTACACATTCTGTAGTTCAAACATGTATGTAGGTACATGTGTGTTTTGAACCAAAGTTGACACTGTCTTGGATCATTTTGATATCCTTTCTTAATTAACATTATCTAATTGATAAAAATTTTTTTATATTCCACTTAAGATGTTACATAAAAAATTGTAGAAAAAATGGACGAAAAGTTGTAAAACCATATTTGAAACGATTGATGTGCACAATACATGCGCCAAGCATTATTTAAAATGCGAAAAAACAAATGTGGATAAAATACATTTAGGGTTTCGTTGGTTTGGCTAACAGCCGATTAGCTTAGTCATTACAATCGTCCATTTAAAAAAAAAATGATTGAAACTATTATTTGGAACTTCCACACTTTTCGAATGCTTTTCAGTCAGAAACAGTCTGCTGCCACATGCAATCGCTCAAATATAAATACTAAAGATAGAATATACATTATAAACATTAAGATATCAATTTTATTTGTAACGAAACGACTTTTCCTTTCCCAGAGGCCAATAGTCTCCTTCTCCATCGAAGACCGGACAGCGCTGAACGCGCGCAAGAAGAGACTGGAGAAGTCAATCGCGAACAATCCGCTCGCTAAGAGTGGGGAGCAATCCGACCAGAAAGAGGAAAATAGGAACGGCAAGGGCAGGAAGAGGAAGCAGAAGACTGCCCCGGACGAGAGCTACGCGAAGAGGAGAAGGTTATTTATTTCTATTTAATCTTTATTGCACTTAAAATAGTATAAACGCAAGCTAAATGCTATACTGCATTCTCTACCAGCTAAGTAAAACAGAAAGAGAATGACTGGGGCAGTAAAGTAGAATTAAACACTTCATATAAAAATGGGCAATAAATTGGAGTGATACTTACATGTTTATACATAAATTGATTCATACATATACATAATATAATACTCAAATATTCATATTCCGAATATATGATTTATATATTTATAAGTTTATAAATATATACATACCATAAAATTGATCAAAGTAAGCACTACACTGTAACTAAGACCGAATTTCATCAGCAAGGATACGCTCAGATTTTTATTTTAAAAACAACAGGTTCGACAAGTCACGGGAGCAGAGCGCCGTCGGCAAGTTCGTCAGGAGGCCAATCGACGAGACCGAGTATTCGGGGCTGACTGCCAAGGAGGGGGGGCAGAGCAAGATGAGGAACAACCACAAGCTGCACGCCCAAGCGCAGATCCACAGGGAGAACGTGAAGAGGGAGAAGAAGAGCGGCAAGCGCGCGTCGCGATTGAAGATGGCCGCCCGCGAGAGGATAAAGCAGCCCAAACAGAAGGTCAACAGGGACAAGGGCGCCGGCAAGAGGAAGAAGTACAAGAACAGGAGTTTGCGCTGATTTTGTGCTTGAGCGATCGGGAGTAGGTTTAAGAATAAATGTTGCCGACGATGACAGTTTTGGCACCGTTCCAACGGATGTTGTTGGTTTTATTTTGTTTTCAACACGAATATTTCCTTACGTGTTTAACGGTGGTAGTTGTTTCTACTTTTGCCTTAAATCAGCTAATATTTTAATTTTTTCGGCAACTAGGATGAAAATTAAAACGTGTAGATAAAGCTATCTCAAAATTTTGACGACACCTGGATTCGAACCTACGCCTTCGAGAGGCTCTAACCACAAATCTAAGGCTTTTGAAGCATGATTTTTATTTATACAGCTGTGGTAGGACCACGCAACAGTGTTTGCTATCGCACGAATGGGCAGGTCCGTCCAGGTTAGTACCACGACCTCACAGAAGACCGGCGTAAAGTAGAAGTATTTCACTTATGCCTTTCTCACATTAAAAAAAAATATACAGCAAACAGCTTTCTCGTATGACATTGTTATAGTCATTAAGCAGTCTCTTAACACTTAAATTAAAAATTAAATTTCGAATACAATTAGATAATAAAAGTACATACATGTATTTAATAAAATGTAGACATTAACGTTATTCCAATCCAACATTTTTTAAAAAAAATCATTACAAAGAACTTATAAAATAGATCGTGGTCACTACTGCTATATTGTTATAACATTTAATAGCATTCATTTAAAAAACATCATTATCTATCTAAAAACACCACATCACAAAAAATTTCACAGGGTCTTGTAAATAAGTTCTTAAAACAGACAATGTTATTTCATAATTTTTTTTTTAATTATGACTCTTTTTTGATATAAAACATTTCTTCGCGCAAACTTTGGCATCAGTCGTAAGGAAAACTTTCCCTCCACCCTTATAAAACATATAACACTACTACATATTACTGCCATTACTTATCCTCTTATACCATTTTCACACTTAAAAAAAAGCTAACGTCATTACTAAACATTAATTAAAAAATATGCTATTACGAGCTAATTACATAAGTAAAAGTCTAGAAGAGGACCATATTCCTTTTAAAGTAAGCAAAATACTTTTCATATCACAATATTCACTTCAGATTGAAATTGTCTTAAAAACCCAATCATATTTATTCTTATCCTTTAAACGAGCAATTCTTGTATATATATATATATATATATAATCGGAATCTCGGAAACGGCTCCAGCGATTTTCATGAAATTTAGTATGTGCGTAGATTCGGGGGCGAAAAATCGATCTAGCTAGGTTTCATTTTTAGAAAATGTCATTTTATCCCTGTTTTCAGGGAATGAAAAATATAATTCGAATATGACGGTAAATTTCGCCGCAAGAGAAAATGTCATAATAGCTCGGTCGGTAATCGGGCGGCCCCAAAACAGACGGCCGTGGTTCGCGTCACGATCATTTATTTACACATTTATTTTTTTACTTTTTTTTCGATTCCAGATCATTGCTTTCTTTATTTTTAATTTTTTGTCGATTTGTTACTTTGTTATTTTTTTCCTTTTTTTTAAAGTTCTTTCTTTTGTGAAAAACATCAGTTCATATTTTCTTATTATTACGTCGGTAAGATCGAAAAACATTATGCATATTTCATTACTCAGTAATTTGTATCTAAATGTAATTTCCAAAATACACGATTTACCAAAAAAAAAAAACAAGCCGAGGAAAGCTCGGTTCTCCGGGTACTAATTAATTAATTCACGTTTAAACAAAATTATCAAAATAAACTTGCAAGTCCTCACTGACCTTAAATTAAAAATTAATTAAAAAATAAACATTTATTCTACGTTCCGCTTCTCCTTGTTGAACTCTTTGTCTTCGGAAATCTTCACATTCTTGATGAATGGTCTAAGCATTTTAAAAAGAATATAAATACTTCACTTTACGGTCGGTGAAGTAAAACGTAGTCAAACAAGGAGACCTGCATATTTTCGAAATGATAAAAAAAATTTTTTTCGAAGATACGTGAAGTCCGCTAGTCCGCGTTGGGGTCACGCGATTAACTGTTCCATAATACCTTCTATACTGTGGCCGTTGCCCAGCAGTGGGGCATATAGAGGCCGTTACTTTATATGTTAACCGCTCCTGTCATATTATTTGGAACCCCCCCAGACCCTCAAATGGGAGTTCGACATACTTAGAGGCTGTTACTTATTACTTGGAAGTCCCCCCCCCCCCCCCCCCCTCAGTGTAGTGCAGACACGAGAAAGCGACCGTATCACGCGCCCCTTCGTGTTCGTTCGCCTGCATTCGCGTGTTCGCTCAGATGCTTCTCCAGCAGTTGCAAGTACTCCTCGGGATGGTGCATGTAGTGGAGCACGTGGGGCGAGCTCTCCCAGCATTTGAAGGTGCACTGGTGATGAATGATCGAATTTTGCATTAGCGGTGATGATAAAAATGGATGTTTTTTTAACGTGAGAAAATGGCAATAAGTAGGCTTGCTTGTGTTGCCACCTTCAAATAAAGTGGGCCCCGGCTACTCCACTCACCAGAAACGCAGAAGTGTAACACTCCTTTACGCCGGCCTTCTGCGAGGTCGTGGTACTTACCCGGACGGACCTGCCCATTCGTGCAACAGTGAACACTGTTGCATGGCCCTGCCACAGTTGAGTTTACTCACAGTACCACTTTTAATGAGAGAATTTAAAAATTTGTCCAGAAATCTTCATTGTCATCATTTCGACCTGTTGGAGACCACTGTTAAACATAAGCTACTGTAATCAAGCTTACACACGGAGGGCCGTATCAAGCTGATTTTTAAATACTTGGTATGTGCCGTGTCCCTAAATAGCAACGCAGTGTGAGAGATGAACCAAGACTGACTTACTGTGGGAATTACATATAAGAGGCGCAAAAGAAGGTAAAGGTAAATAACTTTAACTCCGGCGTAATTCAAATCAAATAAATTTTAAACGATAGAGATAAATCTCTAATGAATTAATCAACAAGCAGAATTCGGCGGTCGCTTATAGTTTTCGAGAAAAAAAATATTTAAAACTTGTTTTTTGTACTAAGAAATCCACCATTTTATTCGTTTGACTTCAAAAGTTCTTTACACAGTTCGGCCAACATGATAAATATAGGAAGCGGGCGCCATCATACACGTATCGATATTCCGATTTTTTAAATTTAATGAGTCACAGAACCGACACAGAGCGAATCCGACTCGGATAGATTAGGTTAGAAGGTTCAGGCGGGAGCTCCGCTCCTAAACCTTAACCTTCGATGTTAGGTTTTTTTTTATGACCACCAAGAAATACGAGCTGAATTGACATATTGACAACAAAAAATGGCGGATTTCTATAGTAAAAATCACACTATTTCATTATTTATTTTTTCGAAAACTATAAGCGACCGCCAAATTCTGCTTGTTGATAAATTCATAAGTGAGTTTTCTCTATCGTTTAAAATTTATTTGATTTGAATTACGCCGGAGTTAAAGTTATTTACATTTACCCAAAAGAATCTCTGTTTACTCGCAACGTTCGTCACATCCATTCCCTGGGTCACCATTACTGCAAAATGTTAAGAGTTGTAACAGTTGGATGAAGTTTTAACAGTCTACGAGAATAACACTTTCACTTCACGCCGGTCTTCTGTAAGGTCACGACCCCGGACGGACCTGCCTATTCGTGAAACAGCGAAGATCTGCACCTTCAACAAACTCTTACTCGGAACGCTCGGTCAACATGTCACCGTTACTATCTATTGTTAAGAGGTGTTGTAGTTCGTTGAGTGTACGGGCTGAAAGCGAAAGACACGAAATGATCCGCACGTTTCGGGCTCAAAGCAAAAACGTCGGCCGCAGTGGGGACACGCTAAGATCCGCACCTTGATGCCGAGCCGCCGCCATTCGGCGCAGGCGTTGCGGATGTTCGCCTCCGCGCCGACGGGATCCGCGGACGACAGTAGGAAGAGGGCGGGCGCTCGGCACGGGCTGGCGTAGTAGGCGGCGGACGCGCGCGTGTACTGCGCCATAACGGTGCCCCACGAGCGGAGATACAGCCTGCGGAAGATCCGCCGTCGCTTAGATAAGACTTAGATCCGCACGGCGCGGATCACACGTACGGTCACATTTACGGCTTGTAAGTCTACTACGGATTGTAAATGTGTGGCACATACCATATGTACATATTTTAATTTTACACTCTCTATCTTTCTTCTTATAAGTTTTATGGTGCTAATCTGTGTAAGTATGCACTTAAGATGAAACATTAATTTAATTTATTATTAGCTGACCCCGCAAACGTTGTTTTGCCATATAAATTATTTGTAGGGTAGGAAAAAATTTTTGGGGTGGACCACCCTTAACATTTAGGGGGATGAAAAATAAATGTTATCCGATTCTCCACCCTGGCCGATATGCACACAAAATTTCACGAAAATCGGTCGAGCCGTTTCAGATGAGTTCAATTACAAACACCGTGAGACGAGCATTTTATATATTAGATTAGATAAATTTTTGTCTATATTGTTTTTTCTATATAAAATACGATAGATTTTCGTAGGTGTCGCAATCAGCCGTTTAGCTTAGTGGTTACAGCGTCTAAGCGCGATTCCGGAAGACGTGGGTTCGATGCGCGCTTCGGCGAAAGCGGCTGTTCGTCCATTTTTTCTGCATAATTTAATCTATATTTTATGTTAGTAATATATTTTTGCGCCTCAGGGGCATACAAAAGTAACTCCACATTTTTCGTAATTATTTTTCATACACCATTAAAGTCGCAAGAACAAATTCTACACAACAGTATAAAGCGTCTAATGACGCCTAATTAATAAAATATCCAATCGTATCTGACGTTATAATCCATAATGCATTCAGGGATTAACGCACGTATTTTTGCCTCTCCTGTAAAATTTGTGTTTTGTCAAATAATGCTGTTTATCTCTGAGGTACAGATTTAATCCCTACCTACCAATATTATAAACGCAAAGTTTGTTTGTATGGATGGATGTTTGTTACTCTTTCACGCAAAAACTAATGAATACATTTTAATGAAACTTTACTACAATATAGATTATACATCAGATTAACACATAGGCTATAATTTATAAAGATATTGTGTGAATTGCCCAAAATGTAGGTACCTAATGATAAGTGTCAACTCGGCAGGAAAAAATTCAGCGGCCGCGGTTAACAGCTGGTTTAATTCATACAACGATAACTACTAACTGGTGAGTTTCAATATTTTGGGGCGTGTTTGTGTAAGACTGCAGTGTAATGTGCGTGAAGATGTAATCGAATGGCGTGCGTACTTTATTGCGGCGCGCAGAACGCTCTGCAGCGGCCTGTTGTTCGGGAAGACGGCGGAGGGCACGCCGACGGTGACCGCCGTTATGTCCGCCACAGAGTCCCACACCTGCGCCTCGACTCGCTCCAACGCTCCCATGCTGCCGGCCCAGTAGAACATTTTCACTCCCCTTTAGGGTTCCGCACCCAAAGGGTAAAACGGGTCCCTACCACTAACACTATCGGTAGCCTGATGACAGACGGACACGCTGTCCTTCTGTCATCAGGCTTTATCACACGAACCGTGATTGCACAATTGAAACTTTCACAGGTGGTGCATTTCTGTTGCCGCTATAACGACAAATACTAAAAAACAGAAAAAAATGTTTACGGGGGCTTTTATACAACAAACGCGGGGTGGCGTATACAGGGTGATTTTTTAGACGAAGTACATACTTTGAAATAATGTTAATTGAGCATTCCGTAATTTAAAAAAAAAATATTAATATTTTATTTTGACAAGAAATAACTGGAAAAATATCAATACAAACGTTGTTTGTTTCTCCCGTTAAGAGTGATATCGATATCGAACCCTATTGATATCGAGTATTGATCGTTCGTCGAATCTATTGATCGTTCATCGAAAAATTTTAGTGCTCGTGAATAAGTTATGTATTGAGACGGTAAGGCAGGAATTTCTAATAGAGTGTCCATAATGTTTGAAAAAGTTGCATAATTATGCTCTGTTAATATGTCCGTCGTCTATATAATCACCCGGTATATTCTGGCTAAATTAAACGTTTTTATTGTTATTTATTGATTCTTTCTCCTTGCATTTCTCTAATGTGGAACCTGTGTTAATTGGAGAAGCGCTTAAGCAGTACAAATACCGACGTTACTTCATTATCGTTATTATATTCCCGAGGTTGTTTGAAATGCGAAGTAAAGAATAATTTTGCAGCGTAAATGCTCAATCTGATCCGACCCGACCTTGAATGTTACAGTGTTTGAAACGTCGCCGATCTGTATATAAATAGGCAATGACCAAACAGTTCAGCACGTTTTATCTCCTCAGTTTGTCAATCGATTTGCCTTTTTACGAGTAGAAGGAATTAACAAGATTGGAAGGAAATTGTTGAGTTTTTTTTTCTTTCAAATAATAATATATGACCAGCGGGTAACACAGTAGTTCAATCAAACACGGTAAAATTCATTATATTTCGTTTGTAAAAAATATGATTTACTAATATTTGTTTTGTATATTAAAAATATATTTTATGAAGAGAAATATATCATTATAAAGATAGTGATTTTTTTCCCAATTTTTCAACCAAATAATTAAAAAAGTAAGAAAATAATTAAAAAATAAATAGTCAACCAAAAATTATCTTTTTGAAATTTTGTCGACTTGAAAGTTCTTCATAGTTCGTATCGTTATTTCAATTATCTACAAAGGCATATTATTAATTCTTTCATTATAATAAATGTAATTTTAACCTTTATTGTCCCTAGCAAAAACAAGCTTTATGTAATAATTCATCACAGATGGCCGGAGTCCCATTTATAGTCATATTTACTATCTTAGGTGTACGCCAGGTTCAGCTGTTGCACGAATGGGCAGGCTCGTCCGGGCAAACCCGGCCTCGCAAAACACCAGAGTGAAGAGGAATGTTATACTTTCGCGTTTCGTCTGTCGAGTGAGGTAGCCCGGGCCCACTTTTTATAAAAGCGTCCAAGCCCTTCGGCGTCGCAGATGTGTTCACTGAACAGGTGACCCGAACCGCCTGCGTCACAACTTTTCACATCAAAAAAACAAATGAACCTAAACGCCGCGTCAATTATCAGCGTTTTGAGAAGAGGTATTGGCAAGTTACGTCGAGTCTATGACAACCACGGCGAACAGTTAAAAATCTTTTCCAACCTCGTCAGAGAGTAAGGACGCGAACGCTTGACATTTTGTAAATATTTTGAATGTCAAGAAGCGGTTATAATTGTTCAAGCACGGTGATAAGTGGTGAAAACTCACTGCTCTCGATTGGCGGTCGCGTAGAGTAGACCTTCAGACCACACGTAGCCGCCAACTGAAAACCCGTGCACAACGAACCGTTGGCCGTTCTGCGACATGAACTTGATCAGGTCCCTGGCCACCACCTACGAGTAATGCTCCGTTATGTGACGTCATACCCGTCAATTGATATGTTAATGCTCATTTGTATGACGTCATACTTTTAAATTGATATGGTAAACTATAAGTCAGTGCACAGATAAAATAGGGCAAATATTTCAGATTACATGGATATTATCGCATGACTTACACACGAAAACGATTATTCTTTCTTCTGGTACGTCTCGCGTAGATGGTGAGTTTTGGAATAAATGCGCAGAGTAATTTTTATTAGCTTTTTTTTATGTTTAATTTGAGAAGTGGCAGGCGAGCCGGCGGTTCACCCGATGTTAAGGGTTTACCGCCGCTCAAATTCTATGGGGTTGCAGATGCGTTGGCACCTTATAATTAAATAGGCCCCGATTTTTTAGCTCAAAAAAGAAATTAATTTCATTCATACGGCGTAAAGAAGATCAAATTGAATTGAATTGAATTGAATTGAGCCTCTTACGATTTTTTATCCGTAAATCTTTTAAGGGACAATGCATCTGCAACATTCACGGATGCTGTAGATATTCAGGTGAGCATCATATCGGTTTATGGTTGATTTAACTTTTAGTTCAAATTTATGCACTCGAGATGAAACTTGGTGTGATTTTGTTTTGTATATAGATTGAAAATAAACCTAATACGGAAGACGCAGCGCTAATTCGGACAACAGCACAAAAATACATAAATCAGCTTGCTTGCAACATTAAAATATAAAAAGCTGAAACTAGCTTTTCGTGTCCAGTCATAGTAAAGTCAAGGCAATCATAATCGTCACTCATTTAAATAACAATAGCTTACTTATTTGAAAGCATAATGAGTGTTTTTTGTATGGCGAATTCTCATTCCGCTCGGTGCAATTACGTTAGATATAAATTGTGCACCAATTATGCTATTTTCACAGATGACGTATGTCTGTTGCCGCTAAACAAATATTAAAAAACAAAATAAAAAAAAATAAGTGGGGCTCCCATACAACAGACATATTTTTTTGCCGTTTTCGACGGTACGGAACCATTCGTGCGCCAATAGGACTCGCACTTGGCCGTTTTCTTTTTTAATTTTTGGCTAGTTCGTGAGTATATGTTAGTCTTCGCAACCTTTGCGCCGGACGAGGGGTTCATCAGCTGCCAAGGAGTGCAGGTCACGGAGACCACGTCGAAGCCCCTCTCCAGGTAGAGAGAGGCGTACTTCATAACGTGGTGAGGTTTCGCGAGCAGCCAGCTGAGCATGATGCAGATAGGCCTGTTCAGACGCTCGGCACACCTGCGTTGTGTGAATAAATCTTAATAAATAAGATTTGTTTTTATTTAGAACTGGCCAGCACTTGACTGCCATCCCACCTGATGGTAAGTGGCGATGCAGCCTTTGATGGTAAGCTGTTAACGTTGGTATTGTTGGTAAGCGCATAACTCAAGAATGGCTGGACCAATTCGGCTAATTTATTTTTTTGTATGTTCCTTAAGGTCTACGGAAGGTTTTAATACTATAAAAAAAGAAGAACCAAGTCTGTCCGAGCAGCTAGTACACGATATAGACCCTAATGACATACAGCTATTAGCCGATGGTAATACAAACGTGAAAATTGGGGTACTAATGCAGATACAGTTTAATAATGGTTTTGTGAATGAATTATATTTTTGTAACGTTGCCACGCGAGTTAAGTTCGCCTGATGTTAAGTGATTACTGCAATGGACATTTACAACACCTAAGGAATGGTAGATTCGCTGATAGCGGGCTAGCTTTCCGTTTAAATTAGCAGAATTTTTAGTTATATAATGTTTTTTTATGTTTAGGTTCATCTGATGTTAAGTGATAACCGCCGCCATGGACACTTGCAACACCAGTACGGTTGCAGAAGCGTTGCCACCTTTAAATAAAGTGGGCCCCGGCTTCCTCGGTCACCAGAAGAAACGCAGAAGTGTAACACTTCTACTGTACTCCGGTCTTCTGTGAGTTCATGGTACTTACGCGGACGGACCTGCCCATTCGTGCAACAGTGACACCATTGCGTGGCCTTACCACACTTAATAAGTTGTAAAATAAACGAATAAATATTTTAGGACATATATTTTACACATCTCGTTCCTTACTAAGCGAACTGCGGTTACTAGATAACTGATAAATATTCTTAAAAATACTTTTCCTGTAGTTTTCCCCATATTTTATAATAGAAATGTTATAGAATTTAAAGACGCGAAAAGCACCGTGTTGGGATCGAACCCATAGCGCAAAAGACGGGTTATCCACTATGCCCGTTGTCGTAATCGTATTCAGCGTGCGTTATTTAAGTGTTCTCACTTCATTGTTTGAGGGTCGACGGTGAGTTTGAGCTCATCGTTGCTTATGTGTCTTATGTTCCTGGTTATATGCTGGGTGTGAGCGCCACGATCGAAGATAAGGCAGGAGAGCGCTTGGCCGGGGAGCAGGCCTTTGTATTGCGTCGGGAACTGAATTCAAGACAAGAAATCTGCTTTAATAGTTGTCTGTCCTATTTAGTAAACATATGTAATACATGCTACTTTACAAACTATTCAAATTTTTAGTAATTTGTGGAAAAGTGTATCTGTCATTCGTAAAAAAACATTCTGCGTTTGTGACTTTTAACTGGAATACAGCAACTGATATTTCTGTGTATCAATTAGCTTTGATTATAGGTACTTGTCTTTATAAGTATATAATCAAAGCCTCTTAGGGTTGTGATTTGAATGACTATGCAAATACTGGCTGAAGCCGACTACGCTTCCCTGTAGCTTTTTTAAGGTTTCTGTTGGATCTTCGAAATAAAAAGTACACAAAATTCCCCGTTCGATAGCTATGTTGTGAACAAATATGAAATCAATCCATCAGCCAGTTTTCGAGTTTTGTGGACAAAAACATACTGAAGCTAAAGTTTTACATACAAAGATGGTGGAAGAACCAGAGCCTTAAAAGACATTTGCAAATTAGAAGTAGTCATAGTTATACCTTAACGCGTATCCTTTGGTCAATGAGGATACGCTTTAATATTTGCAACGCATTTGCAATCCCAAGATTGCTAATATTTTTTTTTAATTATGCGTAAAAAAATACATTAAACAAAAAAACATGGTTAATTAATACTATGGTGTCTCCACCATGTATAATTAATACTATGGTCGAATTTCGACCACTGAGACCACTAGTTAAATTAAAGCAAAATCATTTGCATGTCAACGTTAAGTCTGTCATGGATTAAAGGTAATTCTAACGACATAGCGACTCGACCAATTGGACTCATATTTATTAATAAATGTTAAACAATCGATGTAAAGAAACTAGATTTTTTTCTGTATTCAGCTATGTTATCCAGTCTACATCGAGATATGGCTTCCAACATTGAAGATTATACACGAATTATCACTTGTTTTGAGTAAACATGCTATCGTTCAACGATATTGGAACTTATTGCTGAGGATTTAAACACAGACAATACACGCGGTACCATAAATCATAGGGCATGCATAACATTTGTTAAGCTTACCTCTCGAACTATTAATCTTGACCGTCCGTAGCAAATTGCCACTGACACCGCTCGTCTGAGCTCTCCCATTTCTGAAATGCACAAATATGTTTATTTTAAAACATTGATAAATTCACCAAAGACACTGAAGACGGTGGTAGTGGATACGTGACGTACATTTCAAATACTATTAATTTAATATTCTAAAGAAATATTCAGATTTAAGCAATTTAAGCTGATACTTTACGTCGATAAAAATATTTATTCAGTTCTATATTTTTTTTAAATACAAACTTGGGCAACAACCTTTCTGTAATAATCAAATCATCAACAAAAAGAATGGACTGTAAAGTCTAAATTATACCTGGGACAAGTCGGGAGCGAATAACCTCTAGCTAATAAAATATTAGTTATGATGTAGTTATGTAGTTATTAGTAGGAGGTTGGGTTGACTGTAGTACTACTAACCTACGTAATATAGCAAATTACTCGACAACTGATTGGCCTAATGGATAGTGAAGCTACCTCATCATATCACAGCTTAGTTAATGTACATGATCTCATTAAGAAGCAAAACAATAAGAGTCGGTTAGCTTTCTAAATGCTGATTTTTCAGTGTAATATATATGTACATAATATATTTACCTTATATAGCTAGCACCTAAACTTTTCTCTCACTAACTTTCCAGTTGGGTGGTAGAAAATGCCTTATGGCATTAAGCCCACCGTTTGTAACCAGTTAGTACAATAAAGTGTGAAAATAAATAAATAAATATAGCTCAAGTGTTGCTTAGTACGGGGCTAAAGAACGTTGTGTAGAAATATATCCAGAAGTATTTGTTTATTTATTAATATAAATATTTATTTTCTTGCGCCAGAGGGTTTAATCCATCTCTTTCTTAAATCCCCTACTAATAAACTACTGGAAAAATAAGTGTAATGAATCTAGTGTTTTTCTAGTATCTGGGTATTTATATATCTAGTACCTGGAGGACCGGTTTTTTTTTGGTAAATCGTGTATTTTGGAAATTACATTTAGATACAACTTATTGAGTAATGAAACATGCATAATATTTTTCGATCTTACCGACGTAATAATAAGAAAATATGAACTGGTGTTTTTCACAAAAGAAATAACTTAGAAAAAAGAGAAAAAAATAACAAAATAACAAATCAACGAAAAATAAAAGATAAAGAAAGCAATGATCTGGAATCGAAAAAAGTAAAAATAAGTGTGTAAATGATCGTGATATGAACCACGGCCTTCTGTTTCTTGGCTGTTTGTTAGCGGCCGCCCGATTACCGACCGAGCTATTATAACATTTTTTTTTCGGTGAAATTTACCGTCGTATTCGAATAATATTTTTCATTCCCTGAAAACTAGGAAAAAACGACATTTTCTGAAAATGAAACCTAGTCAGATCGATTTTTCGCCCCCGAATTTACGCACATACTCAATTTCATGAAAATCGCTGGAGCCGTTTCGGAGATTCTAATTATATAGCGTGTCGTTACCATCGCGACAATAAATGAACACACCTATAGGGGATAACTTTTTAAAGTTGTATTAAACATTTAAATTCTTTAAACATCAATCCTCCAGGTACTATGTATATATGTATATATGTATATATATATATATATATATATATATATATATATATATATGTATGTATATATACAAGAATTGCTCGTTTAAAGAATAAAGAAAGATAATATGTATTAATTTACAAAAGAAAAGCATGTTCCAGTAAGTATGTTTAGAGACCTGGTGTCCTTAGTACAAGACAGATGACGTTGCGAAATATATAAATACATATGTCCTGAAATAATTTCAAAATGATCACATTATTTAAATGTGATCATTTTTTCATTTATCGCACACGGTGAATTAATTCTGGCCAACATTGCAAATTATCTTCGGCCTTTAATCACGCCAACTCTTAAACTAGGTCAAATAATGCATAAGTTTCGTTTCTACGAGTAGTAACAAAAAAGATAACTCCGACTACAAGTTTTTGTAAATACCATTTATGTGAATGTTAAAACGCGATTGCGCTCTGTCAATTGTTTCTTAAACTAGACAAATGCAGCTTACTGGAGTAATTGACAGTTTAAGTTCATTATGTTTAGCTGTAGGATTTCCTAATGTCATTTATTAGTTTGGATAAGCTTCTTAGCTGGAAGCTTGCGTTTTGTTCTTAGCTTTTAATTTTACAAACTCAAATAGAGTTTTAGGGTCTCGTAAGTCTTCACTGTCTATTCAACTCATAGTCAACCATGGAACGTCTTCGAAGACTTGGTCAAAGAAGAGTAACAAATTTATAGGAATCGATGGGTATCGTGGCTTTAAACACAACAAGCATAATTATGGCACACATTATGCAGGTTATACTTGACAAGTATATAATCAAAGGTCGGCACAAGACGTGGTACACGCACCAGCCTTAACTGTTGCACGAATGGGCGCGTGTAGCATATGTGCATGGGCGGCGGTATAAACTTAACATCAGCAATACAGCAGACAACTTTTCACATAAAAGAAACGTTACAGGGCAACTGTAGTCGCTTCATACCTACCCACAATCTTGACTCTACTAGTGTAGAGTCTAGCAAATTCGTGGAAAGTTACGATTAGCGACCAACAAAGGAATACATAAATATGCAGCCTCCGGAAGGCGTAAAATAAGGGCGGGGCACATGGCTAGGCGTCGTCTTCAGCCGTTATTCCACTGACCAAGGGGTTATTGGGGGATTATTGGTATATAACCAGCTAAATGTATGGCAGGGCCGACTTGGCAACTGCCTCTAACTGCGATGAATTAACCATTGTTACAGTCCTACTATCTATCTTAGTAAAAAATCAACAAACTTAACTAAACTATGGGCATGGAACTTGAAGTAATATAATTAAATAAAAAAAGATAAGACCGCAGTTTCATCCCGCCAGTCTAGACAGGTCTAATTAGTGAATTGTGTGATGGTAGTTTCTTGACGTTCAAAAAAAGTGTAAAACAAGCTTAGATTCAATAAAGATATTTTGCCTTGAACTCTTGACTTTGATTCATAATTTCTTATAATTTGTGTACTTTATGAAGTATTCATTTATAATATTGCAATATATTGTCCTTTGTGACATATTTACTGTGGCCAATCGAAATCCGATATTTTTCCACGTGATATTTAAAGGGGAACGTCAAAACAGTCAAGGGTAAAGTATTCAGAGACTTCTCAAAAGGTGAACTATAACTGTGATATGAGGCAAGGTAAGGTTTCGATACTTGCTTTTAAAGGTTCGCATACTGCTTTGTTGCATCACAAAAATAAAGCTACTAATTATTTTTTTTAATAAAACATTGCCATTACTGTAGGGAAACATTATCACGTGTCATAAGAGCGTTTTACGAACTTTCACGTGGACAAACACCCAGATGCGGAACAATTATCTGTGGGTCACACAAAAAGTTGTCCCTTGTGGGAATCGAACACGCGATCGCCGGTACCGAAGCCAAAAACTTAATAACTACGCCACGGAGTCATCGAGTAAAAATCTTAACGATCCCAAAAAGCTCTATTTAGTTATTCTCCAAAATTAACTTGGTCTACGGTAATTGTATAAATAAATAAATAAATAAATATTTTAGGACACATTCTTTTTACACAACGTTCTCTAGTCCCAAACTAAGCAACGCTTGTACTATGAGTACTAGAAAACTCATAGACATACTCAAACATACTTTTCTTTTATAAGTATTTACACATTATACATATATAAACATCCAGACACTAGAAAAACACTATGCTCGTCACACAATATTTTTCCTGTGGTGGGGATCGAACCCACACCCTCTGGCGCAGAAGGCAGGTACACTAGCGACTACGCCATTCGGGTCGTCAACACGTATAAGATAACATTGTTTACTGCGCGACGTGGAGCGGAATTTTTTCACTAAAGACAGATGCACAGAGTCAGATTCGATCAAGAGAAGTGATCAGTGTCCGCGCTTTAAATTCACGACACAAGATACATCGGTTCAAATCTGGTTTCGCGCGACCCGTATTGCAAATTTATGCCAAGCGCGTGCGCGAACTGAAGCAAATATTCAATGTGACAGACGATCGCATACCTATGCGTAATACGATCATGTGGTGGATTATACCCAGTGGCGGATTTGCCCTAAGGCCCTATGGCGGGCACATATTAGGGGCAGCCAATTGTGACAAAAAATTCACTTATGATAATAAGATATATGATGGGCGCTGAGAAAGGGGCGGCTGGGACTTACTACATGAGCTGGGGCCTAGGGCGGCCAAGACCACAAATCCGCCACTGTATACCGTAACATCAGAATACATAAAGAACCAGAAGCCGCGAACCTTGGCGCATCTATTGTTATCTCCTTTACAGCAGACAAACAAGAGATTAGCACTTCAAAAGTTTAAATTTCAAATAGCAATACCAATTTCCCAAGGAGAGTCGACTTCAGGTAGGCGACCGGTCGCTACGCCAGGATGATGCCGAGCCCTTGGATGTGGGAGAGGTGCGGGAGCAGGAGTGTGCAGGAGCGCTTGGGAGAAGCTCAGAGCTCGCGCGTCACTGCGTTCCTGCCGAGCTTCGAAGCCCGGCTTAGTGCGTGGGGATTCGCGTACGTCACCTTTCGGTTGATGCAGGTACTCACCGGGCACGGATGCTTTGAACCTAAATAGAATTGGACGCGAAACGACGACGCGATACCACCATTGTGGTGGGGACCGGGACTCCGCGCAACACACTCTTGCAGAGTGCCCCCTTGGGAGTCAGAGCGTCGGATCCTGGCCCAAAAGATCGGGCAGGACCTTTCTCCACCAGTTAAAGTGGCGGCTGCACTGGTCGAGAAATCGGCTTGGACGGCACTGGTCTCCTTCTACGAAGTCGTCATGATCCAGAAGGAGATTGCTGAGCGGGAACGGGAGAGGGCCGACCCCGCTCAGAGACGAAGGCGCCGGGCCGGCAGAAACGGACGAGCCGCTCCGTCAGCCATGTAGTCCCGGGCTCTTAGAATAGGGCTAAGGAATCCCCTCCCCGTCGTAAAAGGCGACTAAAAGGGAACGCGGATGGGCAGCAGCACAAAGTGGTATCGTGCTGCTGCAAGAGGGTGAGGGAATCGGAGAAGGTTTATCCTTCTCCAAGGCATGCAAAGGCGTAGTACCGAGGGACACCGGTGCGTTCCATGGGAGATCCCGGAGTCCCTCCAAATGTACAGAAGGTGGCCACTGAGGGGTTTTAGTCAGTAAGAACCCCACATAATCCTGTCATGTAAGGTGACAGGGTATCTTTCGAAGACTTCCCCCCCGATATCAAAAAAAAAGTCGACCTGTCGTAAAAAACATAGCCACAAACATACTAAATGAAACTATGTTTACGAGATTTATCACGTTTTAATTCAAAAAGTTTCGAACCCTTTACTTCGTTTAGGGTCACGGGACAGACAGACTGTCTGTAATCGCGTAAATTCAATAAATTGTTATAGCCACAACCGCTTATAAACATGATTTATATGTTGTGACGACCCCGCCTGGTGGCATTAGGGCAGGAGGATGATGATGATTACTCCAATATTCTCAACTTTACCCCAAAATGGGAAATATTGTCTGATCTAGCAATATTACGCGGACGGAAATGCTTGCAGGCGGAATGCTTGTTTTTTTTGGCATCCTTTTGGCAACTCAAATGACATTTGAAAAGCCATTTGACAACTGTTATTTAACTTCTGCGATGATCAGTGTTTCAGAAACCGGGCGTCAGACTGTATCACTCGTCATAATAGCAGTAGACTCGCAATTTTCTAAATGACCGAGCATAGTTTCAAGATTTTTTAATAAAATAGTGGTAGTTGGAGTTAATTGATACATACGTTTTCAAAACCTCGCAATGTAGACTATGACTGCTATTATTAAGCACTTATCATCGTATACAGCGTGTCGTTACAATCGCGACAATAAATGAACACACATATAGAGGATAACTTTTTAAAATTGTATTAAATATTTACATTCTTTAAACATCAATATTTACCGAGTTATTAAATTTTCTAAAACAAACAATTTTACAACACCCTTACGTATAAAACTGTAACGTAAAGTTCATTTGTAAAGGTCACAAAGCATATGAATGGGTTGAATGAATTTAAAAGAGATAAAACATACTGTTAGAAGAAGAGGCTTGTAACGCGACGCTGTGGCAACGGAATGAATCAGTCAGTTATAGCTGTATAGGATGTTACACATTTTGTATCTTTTTTATTTAAATAATTTGTGTGAAATATTTTTTTAATTATGGATTTTTTTTTATTTTGTATTTTTTTATGATTATTGGTAAGTAGCGTTAGACGTGTGTTCATTTATTGTCGCGGTTGTAACGACAGGCTGTATATCAAGAGAAATTCGAACATAAGGACAAATTTTGGGTTACGAACCCTAAATCGTTATTCACCCTTAGTTACTGTACTAGTTTGCATTTTATTATATAACTATAAGCATATTTGTAATCAGCGGTATTCATTGCAATGGCATTTAAAGAAAGATTATATACCGTAGTTCTTTTTTGTTTATGACTCGAGAAAAAGCATGGTAAGATATTTAGACTTGGAAAAATTCACATGCAAACGAGTAACAACTCCCCAAAGTTTCACCAAAATTGAATAAACAGAGAGAACACATTGAGAAACAAACAAACATCCATTTTTATTCATAATATCAGTAATAATGTTGATATTACTTTAATTATCAAATTTTTCACTTCATTGAATCCCTAAACTATGCAAACGTTAATACCTCGGTATTTTATCTATACTCTCCTTTCGCGAATCGCCCCTAATTAATTCCGTACTATTCGCTCATTCACTCCAAACGAAACAACTTTCTGAATGTAATATGTATCCCTCCAACTTTAGATTTCACTATTACTCACTATAGGGATGTCAGAAGTGGAGAAATATATCGATATATCGATATTTATAAAAATATTAATATCCGTCTCGATATATTGAAGAGAAAATGTCGATATAATAAAGCAAAATATGGCAAAAATGTTCGTTTTTGGACTCTATAACAAAATATCAAAGGTATATACGGTAAATTCAGATGATTGCGGTTATAAGCGCGGAAAACAAATAGAAATGCGGTTTTTAAAGATACGTACATGATGTTAATAGTGCATAACATGGAATGCATAATAATAATATAATAATAATAATATTTATTACGTTAAATATTTGACCGAAGTCACCTAGTAAACATAAAATGCCTGTGACAGGTGACTTCGCTCTTCCATAGCTGATACAACTCACAAGAAAATAAAAAAATAGCAAAAAAAAAAAAAATAAACATATGAAGTAAAATCTAAACGAAATAAAAAGAGCATACTATACATATATAACTGTAAGTCAATGTTTTGTATCAGCATGTACATTGTAGATAAATAGTGTTTTGATACGGTGGGAATGACTGTGTTTATTTATTTAGTTTCAATAATGACTCTGTCTCATCATAATTTAAAGGCAAAAGAAAATTAGTCAATATTAGCTTACATTTTTTAAGTGTTTTGCTGTAGATGTCAAGCTTTTTGTTTATTTTATTGTATAGAAATCCTGAGCGATTTATATATTGATTTCTAGCAAATGCTGTTTTTGTTACCTTTAAAACAGTAGTGAGTCTTCTTCTCTTATTTTGTTTTACGTTATTATCGAAAGTTATTGATTTATGTTTCCTCAAGACAGTGAGGAAAATGTAAATTTCTCACTGACAGGACATTACTGATGGAGTATAATCTATCCGTTGGAAATCTTCTCTGTTTAAAGTGCATGACCTTTAGAAGAGCGCGTTGTGCACGTTCCACTTCTAACATCTTGGTTTTGCACTCCACCCCAGATCGGGATGCAGTAAGTTAAGATAGATTGTGCCAGCGCAGTATAAATTTCTTTAAGAATATTCCTACGGGAGTTCTGCTCGATCACATTCTTCCTAGGCATCACATGTCTTAAGGACTTGAATATCCAGATCAGTTTCCTTACTCTGTGAGTGACTTGATCAAGATGCGGATGCCAGGACAGTCTTTGATCAACCATCACCCCCAAGTACTTAGTTTTGTCGATTTTTTCAATAGAAGGACAATCACAATCATCAGATCTCAAGACGGAATTACAGGAGTGAATTTTGAGTCTGAAATCAGGATTAGGTTGTGTGTGTTTTAAGATGCTGTAATAAATATAATTTGTTTTGGCTGTATTTAACGTAAGAAGATTATCCTTCAACCATTTGGCTACAAATCTCATGCCTTCTTCTGCATTATTTTTAACGACAGAGCAGTTTTTCCCAGCGAAGACAATAGCTGTGTCGTCGGCATATGATAAAATGTGGGCATTGTCAACTTTCAAACTACAAAGATCGTTTATATATATTAAGAACAGAGTAGGGCCCAACACGCTTCCCTGGGGGCCGTTCGCCGTACGTAACTGTGACATCATCACTGGTGTATTGATTCAGTTTTACCCGTTGTGTCCGATCAGAAAGATAACTTCTAAAGAGAGAAAGTGCGGTGGCTCTTATACCAATTTTTTCCAATTTGTGTACAAGAATTGGGATGCATGCATGCTCGGAATGCATGGAACAATCCACTCTATAAACACAGTAAAGAAACGATTTACTTACTGTTTATTTTTTCTCCAACAATTTGATTATGATAAAGAAATATTTGTACTAAATAATAGTAAAGATTTTCTTTTTACATGTATTTATTATAGGTTTTACATTGTTACTTAGTTAAATATTTAATATAAAAGGCAGTAAAAACATAAAGTAATATATCTTATGAAAGCATCCATTATTAGTTTAGCATTGCTAAATTACCGCGATTTTAGCGGAAGCCACTAGAGTTTCTAATTCTTTCAATTATTCTGGCCGTAAAAATAGATATTGTATGCGTGCAGAATTTTTTATCATTGAATAAACTATGAAAATCAAATTCTTAATTCACCTATTGAATTAAGTTTGAACAGATAACGGTAAGAAAATACCAACTGAAAAACTTACTTGCACCGTTAAACGTACGTCTACTTCGCGTAAATGTAATGTAAATATCACTGAGAAAACACAATTATCGTTTGATAGGGTATTGTGTAACGAACATTCCTTTAATAGCTTTACGCGACTTTTTTAGCTTTATATATTACAAATACACCTGCAATATAAACTGTATCGTGAACGACACGTCCTGAACGGAAATTCCTATAGAACTGGCTCAGACGACAACAACTTGTAACTTAATACATACCGAGACAGTGTTGCGAGGTCATGAGAATTTTCCTTTAAATTATCCCATTTTCCTTACCTAATCATAGAAAAATTATAAAACAGTGATGTATGCAGTGATAACTCAGTGTCTGGGCGCTCGCCTTTAATTCAATATACTTGAGCAATCTGAGTTCGATAACCGGTTCCAGCACCAATGAAATTGATTGATTAATTTTAAGTGCTGACTTTACACGTACTGAGCGGAGAAGGAAAACATCGTGAGGAAACCTGCATAGTTTCGAAAAAATAATAAAAAAATATTTCGAAGATATGTGAAGTCCGCCAATCCGCAGTGGGGCCGCGTGGTGGACTACGCTCTGGTACCCTCTGTATAGAGGAGGCCTTTGCCCAGCAGTGGGACATGTATAGGCTGTTACTTTACTTTTTTTATGTATGCAGTGCCGACCTTAGTCGACTCAGGGTAAACTATAAAGCGAAATTGTCTCTCAGCGTCCTTTCTTTGCTTTTACTTTGCATAAATTGTACTATGTATTTACAACGCTCTATTATATACAATTAAGGTATATAACAGCTCCTACTAATATAATTTAATTTTTATTTGCTATTTTCAATCAGTGAGTAAAAAATAAAATCAGTTTGCTAGTAAGCTTAAACTGCTTTGAAAAGGCGCCATCAAAATTTTATTTTTATGTGAAAATTGTTTTTTGCATAAAAAAGGCGCTAAAAAGCGGTTTTGCGTTGGAATCTTTTTAATAAAGTGGACCCTGGTCATTTGGGTACTTCCAATTCACACCGGAACATAGTAAAAACAAAAAAGTTGCTAATTGTCCTTTATACGCGGGCAACACAGGTGGTGCGTAATCGTTGCACGAACGTTCTGCGTGTTTCCCGCCGTATTTGCCTTATCTGCCACATATTATGTTCTTTTTTTGCAAAATATTGACATTCAATCTTAATGGAGAATGTGCTCAATGTTCTCTTCTTAAAGGTTCTTGAGTGTATCACTTATAACATTCTTTAATAGGAATTAGACAATCTATATATATAGGGGAGAATGTATGTGTGTATGTATGTTCACCTAAAACTCGAAAACCGTTAGGTCAATTGATATTTGATATGAAACTTAGGACATATAGGATTTAGGACATTAGTGTCGGATGGGTGGCGCTGGTGGCAGCAGACTTTTATCTTTTGAACCATAATGCGAATTGATATACCGTTACACGTGAGATTTTTCTAGGTGTAGTAAAGCGCACCGGGCACCAGCTAATAAAACTATAAAAAACCACTACGCTTTTTCTTTCAATTTATATTTTTTTTTTTGGTAAAAATTCTTGTGTACAAATGACTCTTGTTTGTGTTTCTGAACATAAAACTTTACAGTGCTTCGTTGAGTAATGAGTTTCGTGTAAAAGCTTGGACTCCACGACATAGATTGCACATAAGCACATGAGCTTTCGTTACGTCAACTTTTGATTGACGCAAGTTGAATTGGATCCGTTGCGTAGCAACAACGCAATGCTACGTTATGGCGGGAATTATTATCCCGTACAAAACAGGTTCCCTGGGTTGTGATGGGACAGTCTTTTTACGGCAATCGCAGTGACGAATCAATCTTCGATGGCACTGGTCTCCTTCTGGATCGCAGAGCAGAAAAGGGACGGCGGACTTTTAAATTTCCCCTTTCCAAAAGGGTTGGAATAACTTACGGCTCTCTTGGGGAATTATTATAAATTGCCATAATGCTTACCTGCAATTGCCTGGCAAGTTTTTATGCAACTGAAAAGGTAAGGTACCTTATACCGCTTCAACTCGGCTGAATTAATTTGGCATTGCCTGACCTTATTTAGACTTTTCCGGGAATAGCCCTTGGTGAGTAAGATCTCATGTCTAACTACAAGATAATTTGCTCGATTTTTCAGATATTAAATTAGTATCCATATAAAAGTTGCATTGTTTTTAACACATTGACGTGGATACCCTAAATCATATGCCATCATCAACCGTAACTGCTAGATATTTAACCTTCATCTTGTAAGAAATCGGTTTTATTTCTTTTATGTGAAAAGTTGTCAAGCGACGAAACGCGAAAGTAATATATTTCCACTTCACGCCGGTCTTCTGTGATGTCGTGGTACTTTACCGGACGAGCCTGCCCATTCGTGCAACAGCGTGGCCCTACCACCATTAAAATAATGATTTTCCTGAACTTCCTGCCATGGCTAACTCAGTTGGTAGTGATAGAGAAATGAAGTTATTGGAATTGACTCTTGTATGTCCTATAATGTATCCTACATTCCTCCTCGTAACATAAAATACTAGTAATATCGTAAAACAAGAAAAGCAGAGGTGAGGTAATCCTTGAAAAACAACCTAGTGAAGGCGCTAGGGTATATAGAGTGTGCCTTCTAAACGATAGCGAAAATAGAGTATAAACAAAAAGGCTCAAACTGTGTCAACAAATCTGTATGGCGCCATAGTATGTTAAACAACCTGATATAGACTTTGTCGAAAAGCTTTGCGACGTCTAAATAAAGGGCACCGGTACATACAGGGAGATTTTTTGAGAAGTGCCCAAATTTACACACGAGGTTCAGACTCGGTAGTATAATCGTTTATTGAAATAAAAAACAAAGTTTCTTTTAAAAATGCCATTCTATTCCCTAAAAAACAGAACGTGTTGACAATGCGGTAGTCATTCATAAATACCTAAATTTTACTGTGCACGAACTTGTGTGCGTGTTAGTTAAATATGAATGATCGCGCATAAAATAAATGAACCATTTAAAAGCTTCTTAATTTGTTTTAGTTTTCAGAGACAACTAAATCACACAAATACGAGACATTTATTAACTGTATACCCTTTGCTGTAGTAATTTTAAGGTCGATTTGGGCCCCGTAATAAAATTTTACAAAGCATTGTGTCTTCGACTCATTATTGCAATTCGTTTAACAGTATCTATTCAGTGACTAATAACATATATTGGATTGTTAGTCCTTCATAAACACCTAAAATTTAATCTAAAGTTAATAATTTCTAACATTATTAACATTCATTAACACTACACATTATTAAGAATATTATTATGGATTTATCAAGTTTATTTTAAACTTGACACAGACAGACTTCGACAGTCTGTCTCATAACCATGAATGTTGAAAAGAATCCCAAAGTCGGGAATCGAAGTTTAAAACAAAAGCGATATATTCTTAAAAACGGTTAAATTAATATTATAAGATTTTATTATGATTAATTTAATATATAACTACTTTACTTTTTTTTCTATAACATCTTTTTTTAAATAAAAAGCTAAAGGTTTTGGATGGGGCTCACCTGGAGGGTTTTTACACAGAAAAATTAGCGTAGCGTATACGAAATAACATAAGAAGCAAAGTAAAGAATATTACGGTAATAAAAACATTAATTTTAACAAACCGAACGCAATATTTAGTGGCAATAGCATTTTCGTGTTGTTCTAATAAAAAATATGACTGTAATAACTAACCATATGGGTTATATTTATTACTTACTTAGGTTTTGAACGTTACAAAAATCACAGACGTGAAACTGAGTTATTATTTAGAATGTACTAAGCTTATAATGATACAATAACTCTATTAAAATATTACAATTTAGTAGTATTTAACGTACCGTTTCGTTACACTATATTCAAAATGTGCTGTATTAATTGATTGATATCTTTACTTAGGTCATACGGAGAGTTATTTTTTTTAATTTGAAAGATAGTAAGTAGCTCATTTCCGAGCGCTCGCTTTTATATACTCCAGTAATCTGAGTTCGAACCCCGGTGCCCGGCACCAATGAAAATATTAATTATAAGTCCTGATTTATCACGTGCTCAGCGGTGATGGAAAACATCGTGAATATTTTCGAAATAATAACAAAAAAATATATATTTCGAAGATTCAAGTCAAGTTCGCAAAACCGCAGTGGGGCCGGTGGTGGACTATGTCCTAACAGCCTCTGTACAGAGGAGGCCTTTGTCCAACAATAGGACTATATAGGCTGTTACTGTACTTTAAATAGTAGGTATTTAATTTAGAACAGAAGAATTTTTTAATTACGCGAACATTATCCTGTTCATGACCATTAATGCCGTCAAGCATTGAAAACATTGCATTTTAAAATTAATATAAACCGAGAAAATCCGCAAGTTTGTTATTAAAATAAGAGCAGATATTATATTTATGATAAATTATTGCTTATCGAAGTATCCGTTGGAATCATTATGCTATGTGAGACAGTGAGTAGACCCAATCGTCCGTAGGAAACTTCAAGTTCATCTTTTATTTTCGGGTATAAAAATAATTTATCGCAAGGTCGTCAGCGCTGCACGGCGCATGCGTCGTCGGTTTCACATTAGAGTTTTGAGGCCGGCAAATTCGCATTCATCGTCTTAGCGGAATGTGCGGACGCGTTATCGTGGCGAAAGATAAAATTGCAAATAGCGATACACGAAGGTCGTTCACAGAGGACGTCACAAAGAAAAAAACCAAGTGGTAGTCGGACCCACGCACGAATGGCTCCGTACCATTCTATCTACATAAAATCTATAAAAATAACATGTCCGTTGTATGGGAGCCCCACTTGTATTTTCTTTATTGTTTTTTAGTATTTTTTGTTAAAGCGGCATAAGAAATACGTCATCTGTGAAAATTTCAACTGTCTTACTTGATATCCAGGCTGTATCTCGTGAACCGTGATCGTTTATTAGACCTATTAAAGAGTAATTACTATTCTTTTTGCTGTACATTTTTTTGAAACTTTCAGTATACTGTATACCCCATGTGTATCTGTTTTGTACAACAAATATTTATTTAGCTATTTAGTAATAGTATTAATTTCTTATTTTTACTAATTTTTTTTTATTAATTCTCCGGTTTCCGAGTAACTGTCATTAAGCTCGCAAGAAAACTGCGTCCAAGATGATACCTGTAAATAAAAACTATTTTTGGGGTTAATTTGTATTCAAATTGTTATACAACTTGCATCGTTTCGATATTCTAACCATCAAACAAATATTAAACCAAGCTGAACTGAAGATTTGAAAATTTAGCTCGTG